CCCCCCCCCCCCCCCCCCAACAAATATCACACAACCATACCCTACCCCTACAGCCCCTCCCCCCCACAGCCATACCACCCTTCACAAACCACCCTCCCACACCCCACCTGGGGCTTCCCTCTTGTGCTACGCAGCCCCAGCACGGAAGGCAGCCAGCTCCAGCATCTGGGTCTTCCCTCCCATGTCCAACGAGTGCAAGACCTGCACATGTGTGCCGGGAGCACCGGCAATACAGACTGCCCAGAGGAGGCTACACCCCTTGCTGCAATGTGCAGTGCTGGCCAGAGCCAGGCCCTGCCAGACACCTGTGTGGGATATGAGTGCCCTGAGTGCCCTGTCTGCTGCTGCTACCACCTGCCAGGGCTGTGCACCATGGGGGGGAAAAGGATGGGGGATGTGGGGACCCCTCACACCTACATGCTACCCAGCTGAGCTCTGCTCTGCTGCCGCTCCCCTAAACACAGGCTCTATGGTGCCACATGCTCCAGCCCCACACAGCTGCAGCGCTGCCCCCGCCACTTCCCTAGCTGCTGACCAGAACCAGCAGGAAACTGGAGAAGCAGAGCGGGTCCCCGGGAGTTGCAGGCAGTGGCAGCAGGAACCCCACCTGAAAGAGCTGCGTGCTAGCCGGGCCCTTCTGCCCAAAAGGGTGGGAGCAAGGTGCAACAGAACATATTGGGGGGGGGGGGGGGAACGGGGGCACCTCCCTTCCACCCCTGTGGATGGAAGGTCTGGGCAGGGTACAGTTTGCTGGTGGGCGCTGCGCAGGGCCAGATTAATGCACAGACATGCCTAGGCCCCTGAGCTGCAGTGGGGGGGCAGTCCTTCCCTCTGCAGCTGCAGTGAGAATGGTTGTCTGCCTCCCTTCCCTTCCCTCCGCCAGCCTCGCTACCATGGCAGCTGCTTCCTATTAAACTAGAGGTATTAGAGTCATTTCTAAATTATTAATTACTTGTATGAATTTCAAAGAAAATACTAGTTTTACTGCAGAGAAAAAAGCTGAGTATCAGAAATAAATACATTCTTTTTACAGGTCAATCACAGACACTATCCAGAGTTATTTTAAGCTTATCATTTTATTCTCTTAAACAGATAAAATACACTACCTACTCTGACCCTGTTAGCTTCTGACAAAGGATTTTTTTTAATTCATATGCTTTAAATCTAGGTGACCTCATTCACTTCAACAGTGCAGAGTTCTAGCTCAATGGAAAACTGAATGACATTATATCCACTTTTGCTTTGAAGACGTTAAAGGGTGATACAGACAAAAAATAACTAACTGTTGAATAGGTTACTATTGTGCACACATTAAGGCAAGCCTTACTATGTCTTACTACTTGCATAATATACAAGATTTACAACATGTTCCAACAAGAGCTTGTTGCTATATTCTCTTAAGTAATTGAACTACAACTAGAAATAACCATCAAAAACCTCTTTGGTACTGTAGGTTTAAAAACTCTTAATATATCCTTTTCAACTTCCCAGAAAGGAAAACTCCACCAATTTAGAATTATATCAACATTACTAAAAATAATAGTATTTGTTCTTCCATAAAACCTTAAATTAAAAAACAAACAAACAAAAAAACCCTTTCACCCTTACCCACATTTCCAAAATCTACTGAGTTGAGTAACTAGCATTCTACAGGACTATAAACAAAACAGTGAATCGCCCTCTTTCTCTCCTCCAATCTACATATTCTTCAGCTATGCAACACATTTTTCCAGTACGTTATATCTCATACTTTACATAGCTACTGCTTCCATTTTTCTTTCAGGCCAAAACTGAAGTCCTATCTCTTTACTGAATCCCATTTGTAACCATCTGGATACCTATGTCTTCAAAATACGATTGCCTGGAATTCTAAAAAAATGCTCACCAAAAGATTATACTTTAAATGAAGTGAATGGACAGATCTGAATCGAAGACGCAACTTTTGTCTCATTAGCAGGGATTCTGGTTTCTCCATTAAAAAAATCCAAAATTCATTCTCTCTCTCTCTCTCTGTTGAGCACAATGTTTTATTGATATATTTACAATTTTAAAGCAGTGTCTTAATCATTATAATACAATAAATTCTAAATACCTATATATTTTGGCATTTGATTTTGCTTTAACGTGGAAAATCAGAGCTCTCCTTGTCCTTTTCACTCATCAGGACACAGGTCCTGCTGTGGCTGTCCCCCGGCTGCTTTGTGGCACCAAGCTGCCCCTTCACTCCCACGCCAAAGCACCCACCAGTCCTGCCAGTGCCCCTTACTCCCAACTTATAGCCCTCCACCCCCCAGCTCTGCTGGTGCCCTTTACTTCTGACCCACTGCCCTCCACCCCTCAGTGTGT